GCGCAGTTTTAAGCTCCTACTGCCTAACAGGAGCCGCGGGGAAGTGTTTCTACTTTTAGAAGTAGAAAAATAAACGGAGGTGGGGAGGTGGAAGGGGTTGACGAGATGGGTCAGGGAGGATTTTGCCACCAAGCCTTGATCTGAATTTTATCTCCCGAAACCATGGGAAGGATAGAACCAACTCCTGTAAATTTTCTGTCTGTCTGTCTCACACACACAGTAAAATAGTACTAGGGGATGTGGTGCAGTTGGTAAAGTACTTAACCTAGCATGTAGGAAACCCTGCTTTTCATCCCTAACCCATCTTCCAGGCATGGTGGGGAAAGCTGTAATCCCGGGGGTGGGGGTGGGGTGAGGCTGGAGGGTCAGGAGTTCCACGTCGTCCTTGGCTGCACAGTAAGATGGATGCCCCGATAGGCTAGAGAGACTGTTTAAATGAAGCCATTGATACTTTTTGTAGACAGATGGCTCTGATGAGGTTCTGATGGGTGGGAGCTGGGCTATAACGAGCCGGGTTTCTGGGAGCTGAGGCATGTGCAGAAATGTGTAAGAAAGGAGGGCCTCACCTGTCCACAGCAAAAACAAGCGACTTTCACCTTTCCTTTCCCACTGTATTGTCATAATAAAACAATGAACCCAGTCTGCTGGCACAGGCCTGTCCTCCCTGATGCTAGGGAAGCTGAGGCTGGAGGATAGAAAGTTCAAGGCCTGAACTTCAGCAACTTAGACTTTGTCGGAAGAAAAAATGAAAACGAGAGCTAGGCATGGTGACTAGAGCACTTGCTGTGTGAAGGCCTAGGTTGAGGTTAAGAAAGAAAAAAGACAGTAACCATCTGTACTCTTTTTTAAAAGAGGTTTCTTTCTCCACCTCCTCCTTCCCCTCCTCATTAAGACAGGGACTCACTATGAAGGCTGGTCTTAAACTCAGGGACACAGCTGCTTCTGCCTCCTGAGTGCTGGAACTAAAGATGTGCTGGCTCTTAGCACATAGATTTGATATGTGGCTGAACTTTTTTTAAAAAGTTATTTATTTTTAAATTATGTGTATGTGTGCCTGTTTGAATATACACACATGCATTCCAGTGTCTAAGGAGGCTAACAGGGCATGCACCCTCCTGGGACTGGCTGTCTAACATTGGTGCTGGGAACAGAACTTGGGTCCTCCCATAAAAGTAACTCAAACACCACAGAGGTGTTTCCAGTCACTGATCCTAACCTTCTGATCCTCCTGCCTCTACCTCCAGAGCTGGGATTACAGATGTGCACCACCATGCCTAGTATATGTGGAGTTGGGATGAACTCCAGACCTTTGGGCACGATAGGAAGATGCTGCCCAGTGAGTTTAAAATAGCACGGACACTTGTCATCAGCTCTGAAGCCTGGATGGCTTTCAGGGATGCCCAGGGAAGACAGACATTTGATTGCCAAGGGCTGTGCCAACTATGACTCAGCTTGGGGGCTGGGTTGTTTTGACTCTTCCACACCCAGCCAGGGACTTCAAGTAGCATGTGTTCAAAAACCCTCTCAGAGGTCTGGGATTTTAGCCATAGACAATATCTTTTCAGCAAACCTTTGTTTTTGAAGCAAGATCTTATGTAAGGCTTTGAACTTGCTGTTCTATCAGAAGATGACTTTGAACATATAATCCTCCTGCCTCCACCTCCCTAGTGCTGGACATTGCTGGTCTGCATGACCATAGAGGGTTTACAGTGTTGAGGGAACACAGGGCTTCCTGCATGCTAGGAAGGCATTCCACTAGCTGAGCTGCATCCCCAGCTTATTTTCCCTTTATGAAACATGCTCTCCCCCAAGCGGCCCAGGCTGGCCTTGAATGCTTAGCAATCTTCTTGTCTCAACCTCCAAAGGGCAGGAAAACAGGCATGTTCCACCATACTCAGCAATATACTTTTGAGACAGTGTTTCTCTGTGTAACTGTCCTGTCCTCTGTAGACAGGAGTTCAGGCTGGCCTTGAACTCAGAGATCTGCCTGCCTCTGCCTCCAGAGTGCTGGGATTAAGGGCGTGCAACACCACTGCCTGTTTATGCCTGCTCAGATGCCTGTGTACCGTGTGTGTGCAGTACCTGGGGGGGACTGAAGAGGATGTCTGACCCCCTTGGAACAGATTTTACAGATGGTTGGGAGCCACCAGGTGGGTCCATGGAACCCATCTGAGTCCTGTAAGAATAGCTAATGCTCTTCACCACTAAGCCATCTCTCCAACCCCAGGAAACCTTTCTTGTGTCCTAAGTGTTGGGTACCATCCTAGGGGTAAGAGATCCATCACAACACAGCAGAAATACCTGGACTCTAGCCAGACATGGTAGCATAGCACTTAGAACCTGAAGCAAGGAAACGGCCAGTTCAAAGCCAGCTTGGGCTACGTGGCAAGTAAAATCTGGTGCTTGTAGAGCATGTAGGTCTAGTAGGGAAACAGGCTATAACTTGCTTGCTCCTTGCCTTGCCTAGGCTGGGTGGGAGGCAGGAGGAGCAGGGGAGTTCAAGGCTCCTACTGAATTCCTAATGCAGGAAGTTAGAGCACATTACCCATATGAATGAATGTACGAACTCATGCCATCAACCCCTTGGCCTCAAATCATCTAGCTCCTTGTGTGTCCTGCCTCAAGTTCTGAGCTTTCTGGCGCTGGGAGTGCTAATGGACACCAAAGTGCCACCTAGGTCAAGTCACTTTGCACAGAGGGCATTTTCAGCAGAGGGTTGGGACCCACTTCCTGGATGCAGGATCTTGGGCAAAACACTTCCCTTTTGAGAGCCAAAGCCACATTTCTAGATGTGGGAGGTAACCTCTCCTGTGGGCGAGTTGGAAGACTTTTTGAGATAGGAGCTCAGGTAGGCCAGGCTGGTGCACACCTCATTACTTTACTGCTTCTCCCTGGTGCAGCAATTCTGCAGGTCAGGCCCTCTGAGGGCAAGTCTGATCAGAAACACGGGCAGGCCAACCCACTCGGCCAACAAAAATAAAAGCAATGTGCACACTGCTGGTTTCCTAAATGGTCCATACACCTCCAGTGGCCTGCGAAAGACCACTGAGTGAGAGTGAATGTTCTCAAGGTGTTCACTTCTACAATGGATTTACCAAATCACCATATAATGGCAGCAGCTGGCAAATCCTTTTTTTTTTTTTTTTTTTTTTTATGATGGCTCCAAAAAATGGGCCTATTGCTTCAAAAAAATATTTATCATACTGGGCACATGCCTTTACTCCCAGCACTTGGGAGGCAGAGGCAGGCAGATCTCTGAGTTCCAGGCTAGCCTGGTCTACCGTGTGAGTTCCAGGACAGCCAATGCTACAAAGAGAGAAGACTTTGTCTCAAAAAACCAAAAAAATAAAAATCATAAATAAATAAACACACACACACACACACACACACACACACAAGCACAGAGCTCAAAGGACAACTTGTGGGTGCTCTTAGTTCTTTCTACCGAAGTGGGTTCTAGGCATTTACCTCATATTGCCAGGTCTGGTAGCAAGCGCCCTTACACACTGAGCCATGGCAATACCCCCAACTTCAGCATTTCAGAACACAGAATACAGAGGCACAGAGATTAAGTAATTTATCACATCACACAGCAAACAAGAGGCAAAGGCCGATGTTAAGCAGGGCCCGCTCTGATTCAGAGCCCATAAACTCCAGCCTCTTACAGTTTTTCATTGTTGAACCCGGACCTCCACATACTAGAAAACCATTCTCCTCACTGAACTATATTCTTAGAACTCACAATAGCAATTATAAAATATACACAAGTCAAGCATAGTGACAACACACAACTGTAATCCCAACCCCTGGGAGGTGAAGGCAGGTGGAGCGTGAGTTCCGGCCCAGCCTGTGCTCTGCAGCAAGACCTCTTCTGAAAAAAGGAAAACCAAACAATCAGATGTACGCTGAAGTAAATATTACGGCTAGTGCCAGGATGAAATCACCAAAAAGGCTTATAAAACAGATCAATCTGTCGTTTATACAACACACGTTTATTTGATAACTGTGTGCACCAGGTTTTCTAGGGCCCCGGGAGAAACAGAAGGGTATGTGAGAACTGAATTTTAAGTCACCAGACCAGTGCGGTCCAGGAAGGAAGGCCGGAGAGGTCTGGGGACGCGCTGCGCAGGGAGAAAATGCCCGCTCACCAAGAACTCTGTAAATAGACCTGTGAATCCAAGCGTCGCTCAAAGGATTCTGAGTTTCGGATCTGCGCGGCCCGCCAGGCATGACGCAGGCTCTCTACCAGGGCTGACCACGGTCCCTGCGCTACAGCGGCTCAAAATCCCCAGGCTCGGAGACACTTGATATGCCACGCATGGAGTCCTGGTCACCCCCCACCCAAGTCCCCATCTCCGGGCAACTTCTGGGTCCGACGAGGGGTAGTAGCATCACTGTCCCATCTCCTTCGGAAGTCTCGACTGCGCTACCTTTGCACGTCTTCTGAGGTGCCCTGGGGCGCATCCTTCCGAAGAGGCCACCATTTTGGGCCAGGGCTCACGATGCTGCCTCCCTAGGCGCAGGGACAGGGACGCGCACGAAGCCTTCAGCTGCTCATCCAACCACCACCGAGCCGAACGCCAGCTCCAGTTTGTGAACTCACTGCACCTCAGCCGAGCAGGCGCTGTGGCAGCCCAGCCGTGCCAGGAGGAGGGGGCGGTGCCGCCACTCCGTGCTCCCGCCCACAGAGTGTGCCCCTGCTACTGGATGCCAGATCTGCCGCTCTAACTCTCCTCGCTACTATTGGTTGTATGCTACAATAGAGGCGGAGCCTCACATGGCTCCTCCTCCTAGCCGGGCGGAGGGGAGGAAGAGGAGGAGGAGGAAGAGGAGGGGGGGCGGGACACAAAACCAGCAAGGTGTTTTTGTTTGTTTTTTTTTTTTGCATTTAATTAAAAAAAAAAAAATTTTTTTTTTTGCATACCCGAGGGGCGCTCCCCGGAGCGGGGCGCGGGGCCGGGCCGCGCGGGGCCGCTTCGTTGCAAGGGCGGCGGCGGGCCCGGGCGCAGCGGAGCCGGGCCCCGCCATGCGATCAGGCAGTGCGTTGACCGGCCCGGCCGGCCGGCCCCTTCTGGGTCCTCCCTGTGCAGCCCGTGCGGGGCCGTCCCGGAGACCCCGCGCCGACGGCTGCTCAAACATCAGGGTGAGTTTCTCACAATGTAGCAATTTCTCTTTAAATCTCTTAACTCTCTCTACCTGAGAGTCCGGGCTGTGACAGGGCGCAAAAGCGAGGGGGGGAGTGGGGCTCGGCGGCGAGGGTGTGTGTGTTGGGGGGGGAGAGCCAGAGCTGGGGCCGAACCCACTCCCCCCCGACACTCCACACTCAGCCCCCCAACCGGGGCGCAGCGCCCGCTGCCGCTGCTTAGACTAGATTTTTTTCTCTTTCTTTTCTTTTCTTTTTTTTTTTTTTTTTTTTTTTTTTGGTGATCGGCGCCCACCACTATCCGCGCACCCCCATCCTAGGTCTCTCCCGCCACCGCCGCCACCCCGATCTTGCAAGGATCTCCCCCTTCATTGCGCCCGGATCTCAAACCTTGCGCCCCGGTTCCCTACGGGGTCCTTCCCGGGATACAATGTAACGGAGAAGAGGGGCGAGCGCGAACGTCCCACGGGGGGAGGGGCGGGGACCCCCCCGCCCGTCTTAAGGACCCCCTTCCCTCCTCGTGCTCCCCGCCTTTTCTGGGGAAAGGCGAGGGCCATGAAGGAGCAGCTGAATCCATCTCCTCCCCCTCCTGTCGCGCGTCCCGTGCGCCCCCTCCCCAAGTGCTTCTTGGGGGTGCCTGGGAGAATCGGGGGTCCTCTGCAGGCTCGTAGGCAGGGGTGAACTGGGAAGCAGGCCACTAGGTCTCCCCTCTCCATCGCCCCTAAACAATGAGGAGTTGACTTGGTTCCCCTACTCCCGGCAGGGAGCGGAGAGAACCCCCGCCCCCTCAGCTGGCTGGTCCTGTAGGGGGCCTGTTCTTGGGGATCAAAGGGAGGGAAAGGGGGAGCCTCCACGCCTGTCACCTCCTGGGATTTGGGGTGTTCCCTGAGCTCCAACTCCGTGGGCCTGGGAATGGAAGGCACCAGGCCCAACCCGGGCACCGCGCTCCGGGTGGTGACCTTTAGACAAAGGCAGTCTTCTCCCCGGGGTGATCCCGGCCAGGTCCCTGCGGAGGGCGTCCGGGCCGTGGGCTGGGAGGGTGATAGGTGGGGTGGGATGGGATGGATGGGTGGGTGGGCAGGTGGAGGAGGTTTGGGACCATCTGGTTTTCCCATCGCCTTGGCTTCCCCTTGGCTGCTTCCGCGGCCTCCTGTCACCGGCAGCCGCGGGGAGACAAGGGACCAGGGAGCTGCCCAGTCAGGCCTTGGGCCTCCGCCAGCGGGAGGACCCGGCGATGAGCCGCGGGAGGGCGCGGGCTCCGGCGTCCGCGGTGATTGGAAGGCATAGTGGCTCCTTCCTCTCCGCGCCCCTTTGTTTTGCTTTGTGGTTCTGAGCAGCTGAACGTCCCTGGAGGTGGGGTCAGAGGCTGCCGGGTCAGCTCTGCAGGGGAAGTCTTGGTGACAGGGTCCTCTGAGGTCCCCAGCCTTTGCGCCTGCATTTGGCACCCCACCCCACGTCTTGAACCTTCACCCCTTTTGTCGCTCCTCCAACATAGTGTAAGAATATCTGGGGGTGGGGGGTGGAGAACACCCAAGACCCAGGGCTGAAAGTCCGAGGAGCTCTTTGGCCCACTAAGGCAATTTTGACCCCAGCCCCCAAGATGAGGAAACAGGGGAAGCCAAGCTTAGAGACCACCCCTTTCCTCTGCCCCACGGGACTTATCAGTTGTTTACCTCAGTACCCTGCCTTCCTCTGTAGCTCCCCCACCTCCCAGAAGCCGGAAATAACCACTCTCTACCCGGGATTGGCTACTGGTAAATACTTTCTACCCCGGCTACCGTCTGAGGAGTGAGTTCCAGTGAATGTTCCCATTTTCCAGGCAGACTCACTGAGGTCTAGAGTACGTAGGGGCTAGCTTAAGGTCACACAATTCTGGTCGATTTGAGCCCCAGTTCACAACGTCCTACTGTTTGCCCAGTCTAGCTCAAACCCGGTTGGCTTCCACTTCTGAGTACTTTGCCCTTTCGACTTCAGTGGACCTGGGTTTTTGGCACGATCTGCCAGATGTTTTCCCCTGAGGGTTGGGTTGGCAGAGGAGGATGAAGGCTCAGCACTGTGTCTGGTGTGTGGGGGAGTAGGGGGGAGTCCAGGTCTAGCTGGATGAAGGCTTGTCGTGGTTTGGGACCTAGCTCCCCTGTGACCCACCACTTCATCTGATTGGGACTTGGTGTGATTGCTGTCCCTTGACTGTAGAGAGGGAAGCTGAACAGTCTGACTGGCCTGTTACAGTGGTTTCTGCTCCTCTGGCCTGGGACCCACATGGTATCTCCATACAGCTGACAAAGAACTTGCATCTCAGGCCAGCCCTAACCTTAGGCAGACCTGTACCCTGTCTGGCTCAGTCTCCTTCTCCCAGCACACGGTGAAAGCGAACTTTCTTTGACCTGACCTGGAGGTGGGAAAAGGAGTAGCTGGAAGTGTGGTTTCTGTTTAGTCTTGGATGTTTGGGATAGGGGTGGCGTGAGGGGTCGGGGTGGGGTCGTGCTCCATGCTAAGGTGACTAGAGAGAGAACAGATGGCCCAACACACTCTTGTTCCAGCCCCGGGGGTGTGCTTCCTGGAGGGAAGTGCTGCTGGGCCCCAGCTTCCCCAGTAAAGGGGGTCATGGAGGTGGTGTCCTTTTTACAGGAAAGTCAACTGAGGCCAGGGTGTGTGCTTCAAAGTTGTGCTGGCCAGGTTGCAGGGGCTAGTGGGGAGAGGGTCTAATTATAGGGGTGTTGGGAGATCCATGTGCTCCCACTGATCTTCTTCTTGGTTAGGGTAACTCTGGGGCGGGTGGGCGTGCGGGTGGGGACACTGACCTCTGAGATTCTGTGCCCTGAGAGGAGGTGCCCATTTGGGGACAGTGGGAGAAACTGCTTGCTTGCTTTCCTTCCCAGAAGCCTCTGGCACCTTTGCCAACCTTCTGGAGTAGTGGGGGTGGGGGTGTCTTAAGAAGGACCAGGAGTCAGCATCAAGCCTTCAGCCCCCTCCCCGGGGGGGGGGGGGATAGCGGGAAGGAGGTCCTCCATCCCCGAGGCCCGGCCACCAGCCAGCCTTCCAGGAGGATCCCCCCTCCTTCCTCCCCCAGGCTTCCTTGACTCCTAGTCTCAAGAATGCAGAGGGCTGCCGCTGGGGGATGTTAATTGGAAACAGGAAAACATGGCATTCCTTCGAAGAAGCCTGGGCTGTAAGCAGCTAGGCCTGCCATTTTCCCTCTCCCACCCTGCAGGGCAGGGGCTGCCATGGGAGGCCCAGGTCATCTCCTGGTTTCCTTCTCTGATTCTTGGATGCAGACCCAAGCATCCGCCTTGCACCTGGCTCCCTCTGCCCAGCAGGGTCATCTGCCCTTCTCCCTCTGTTCAGTTTTTAGTTCTGGTGTTTTGGTTTTTGTTTTGTGGGCAGCTATGAAGGATACAGCCACACCATAGCCTCAAGCAAGGTCCTCGAGGAATCCCTCCTCCCCTCCTTCCTTCTCTGCTTATAGCAGCCCCTGTTTGACTGTTCCCAATTGACTGAAGCCTTTGTGTCTCCAGAACAGCCAAGTCCCCCATGAGAGGGCCTGAGGAGCTTTCTGAGGGCATTTTTAGTTTGGAGACTGTAATTTTTTGTATGAGTTATGTGTATTGGAGGGATCTGACTGGTGGCTGAGGAGGCCACCAGTGTCTTTGTTTCTTCTATTGTTTCCAGTTTAAAAACTTGCTGGGGCTGAGGGCCAGGCCCTGGGATCAGTGCTGGTGCTGGAACCCAGGTCAGCAGGAGAATGGATGGGCTCCCTGCTGCAGGGTTGATTACTTCTGTCTGAGTGGCCTGAGACACACCAAGGAGGAAGTTTATGCTGGCTTGCTCTCCTCCCTGTTTCTGATTTTTGTTTATTTGTTTTGGTTTTGTTTTGACTTTTATGTATTTATACCCATGTGTGGGCACACACTTGTTGAGTGCTGTGAACAGCTTGCAGGACCCTGGTTTCTCCTATCATGTGGATCCCACGGATTGAACTCTTGTCTGCATCAGGCTTGGCAGCCATCACCTTTACCCTCTTGAGGTATCTCGCCAGTCCTCCCACTCCTTCCCCCCTCGTTTTTGTGTTTTGGCTTTTTGGTTGTTTTGTTTTTGAGACAGAGTTTCTCTGTGTAGCCCTGGCTGTCCTGGACTCCCTTTGTAGACCTGGCTGGCCTCAAACTCACAAACATCTGTCTGCCTCTGCCTCCCTTGAGCCCTGGGATCAAAGGTGGGTACCACTATGCCCAGCCACTTCCCCTTTTTTTTTTTTTTTTTTTTTTAAAAAGACAGGGTTTCACTTAGCTCAGGCAAGCTCTAAGAATGACCCTGAATGTCTCACCCTTCTGCCTTTTCCTCCAATAGCGGAGATTCTGTCACCCCAGGTTCATATTCTGAAGTGATAAATACAAAAAGGACATATTAAAACAACTGAAACAGAAAGCCCTGGTTGTTCTCCTGCCTTCCGTCCTTCCCCCAGCTCCCTCCCCAGGGACAGTGTCTCAGCTCTGGCGCTCTGTGGAGAAGCTCGTTTTGTATAGCTCATACCTTGTACTCCAGTTGTTCTGCCCTTTGCTTTTTCACCTTTATCTTCCTAGAACACCTTCTGCGAGGCTCCTCCATCTTTTGTATGCTCTGTGGTATTCCACTGGCTAGACAAACTGTTTCCTGTGAGGGTGTGGCTGAGTTACCATGTACTGCCAGCCTGCTGGATCAAGGCGTGGGATTTGTTCTGGTAGCTCTCAGAGCATCTGGGATGCTGCACTGTAAGGAAGTCATTCTCCATCTTGGCTGTTCACATCCAGCCTGTCTGCTGAGCTGCCTTAACAGGCTTCACAGTATTTTTGCCACATGGCATCTTTGCTTCATTCTCCTACTCATGGCCTGCATCATGTGTAGTTGTGCAGGGCAGAATTTTGTCTCTGGAACCCAGCTGTGGCTCTGAATTTCAAGTACTTCACCTCGCTACCCAAATGGGGATTGCTGCCTCTAGACCTGTTTCTCCTCCTTTATGAAACCCA